TTGTGACATGACAGGATTGTGTGGGCACACAGAGGAGCCTCGTGATTAATGTCATCCATGATTTTATTTCACACTAGAAAAAAACACATTAGAAAGTATGTAACATAACATTTATGTTGACATTACAAGAGTATAAAAACAACTGTAGAGAAAAATATGTATACGTGCGCATGCACGAATTCGTGTGCATGTACTGTATGTCCTACCATATAATTAAGTAGAGAGTATATGCATTTGTGTTGTCATATGCAATGTGCGCAAGTGTGTGGTTATGGGAGTGACAGACTACCAGCTGTGTGTGTTCACGGAGCGGTACGTGTGTCTGTGCTTAAAAGAAAAGGGATTTGATATAATCTTTATATATACAGAGAGAGCAGCGGTCGAGCCGGACGACATGTCTGTACTACTTGATTTCCGGTGCTGGACAGAATAGTGTGGTCAGTCATCGGTCTGCTCTGGAGGTGACATTAGGGAGGTGATGGAGGTTGCACGTTACACTGAACATTTCCAGCACCTTAAGTTGTCAGTCAAATGGGTGAAGGGGCAATCAACAGTCATTATTTGTTAGGGGAATAAAAAAATCGACGACGTTGATGAGGGAAGAGAAAAGGCAAACAACGGTGAAGGATCCAGACTTTTGATCAAATGGGGAATTATAGAATTACTTACAATCTTAATATGTGAGGTGGTTATTCTGAAAGAAATTATTTTTGGAGATATTTAGTATCTGTTAACTGGGGAAGTATCATATATCGATATTTCGACAAAAGAAAATCGTATTTATTCAACAACACCTGTATTGTTTGTTGATCCAATAAACCTTTTTATACCAATTCCGTCGTACTATTTACCAATATCTGCAGACGTCGCCCTGTCTTACCTCAGCCGTAGCCGGGAGCACGGTGGCACTGGCTATGCTCAGGTGCGGGGTGATGGAGTTCACGCCGAGGTTGAAACCCTTCATCAGCCGTCGCTCCTTCTGCCGGTTCTTCTTCCCACCTGAACCTAGAGTAGTACCCCATAAAATATTAGATTCTGCCGTTTTCTTTGATACATGAGAGATACATTACACAACATTTGAGGGGATACCTGTAAAAAAATATATTAATACATGTTTTTTTTTATATTTTGGACGAGGGTATTATTAAGAGATTTTAAATGTATACATAGGAAGAAAGACATGAGATTAGTGCTGTTTTCTTCTAAATATCATAACTGAATTGAAATAATGCAAAGAAACATGCTACAAGAAAAAACATTCTTAATTGACATTCAGTGACATTTGGATGCGTGAAAGGATGCAGGAAAATCCAAATCCTTTTTTAGATAAAAGCCAATATCATCAGCACTGCATCTCAACAGAAGACGGAGGATTCAGCATGAGGCCTACACTCACTTTATTCTACGGCATTCGGTCACACAAGTAAGAGTCATTCATTCACACCAGTCTCAGAGAGGCTCATATACCGTTTATTCAACAATTTATCTATCTGTCTATTTAACAGAAATGAGAGTTAAGATTTTTAAAATCATTGCTGCACTGCTTTGTTACTTTACTCGCTACCTTACAAAGGTACTCTGAAAACCTTATTAATCCTGAATTGCAGTCTATTGTAAGATAGCATTTGAGACTACAAAGATCTGTAATCTTTTCCTTGAATTATCACTCATACATTTTATGCTGTTATTTGCTATCAACCTTCTCTTCCTCTTTTTTTTCTCTATTTCTCTTCTCTTTCACATAACTACATTCAAGCTAGCCATACTCTTGTGTCGTTTAAAGTCCTTTTTCTTATATGTACAATTGTTTTATGGTCTTGATAACATTGTTTATGGTTTATAAAGATAACCGGTTTAAGAAATCTAAACAGTCAGAGAGAGGGTATTTTTGCAGAACTTACTTGTAATGTTAGATCCAATACATTGGATGTGATTTTTAAAAATCAGATACTTGAGAAAATATGATAAGATAAAATGCATTATACAGGCGCATTCAAATTCATGACAGACTATCACTCACAGTTGTCAGAGGGAAGAAGTGTCGCTAAAGAGATGCAGGTGAACGTGAACAGATCACGAAAAAGAAACAACAGCATCACGGAATGCAAGATCTAAACTCCGGTAAACCCAGCGGAACATCGCCAAGGAGCTACCGGGGTGGCTACGCATGCGGGGACATCCATCGTATTGAGATAAACGAACACGATCAGCAGTCTCGCGGGTCACGATTCCATCTGCGGAAGGGTCGCCCACATGTTCCCTCGCCACCACCAGCTGGCACTACTGACGGCAAAGGTGCTCACCACACACGTGTTAACTCACACCACAACATTCCTCGGGCTATGACAACACCTACGGGTCACGGGGGAGGGGAAGAAGGGGGGAGGGTATTTGGGGTAGGGGAGGGGTACGAAGACGATGCAAGACAGTGCAAGTAAAGAGATCGTGTCACAAACCGAGGTTGTCTATGGCAGTTGCTTTTGTGCCGATCGCCTGCCTA